ATCTCCAGTGTTTTCGTGCGTCGTTGTGGGTTCAAACCCAACACTTTTTAACACGCTGACCCACGCTCTTGGCAAAAAGACACAGTTCCTCGACTGTGAGCTGCTTTCCTCTCACCGAGGAGGCGAGTAGAGCCGTCGACGCGACCTGCTGCCAACCGCATCGGCGGCGTGTCCGATTCCACGCGCCGCTGTACGGACCCACACGGTCGGACCTCGGCATCAACGTTGCGAGCAATCCTCGACACAAATGGTTCGGCCATCGGTCCAGCGATCCTGTCGTGTGTTCTGGAAGCACACTGCGCGTGCTGCGATGGTCTCGCGGACAAGAGCCTGCGCTCGTTCGCGAGCACTGTAAGCTGAGAAGCCGACAGACGACGGACGAGTTGTGCTGGCTTGGGCGAATGATTGCTCCGCGGCAAGGACACGCTGTTGCATAGCGCCTTGGTCACGGAGCTGCGCTCGCCGTCCAGGCAGGCAGCCTGTTTTTCAACGCGATTGCTGCTTGGGTGGTCGGCCACGCGGCAGTCTCGACACCGTTCGTAGCAACGGACGCGAATGTACGTAGTGCGACGGTGGATTCACACAGCGTTGTTAAGTGAAGAGAAAGAGGATCTAGTTCAACGCCTGTTCCGCAGCCTTGGCCTTGGCCTTGCACTCAAGGTCAAAGAAGTTGCAGTCCGAGTACTTCCACGGGTACGGCTTGGTGCGGAGCTTGTTGTGCGCGTAAACGATGGGCTCGCCCTCGTGGTGGTGCTCGTGGCCGCCGGCGTGGCTGATGGCCGTGACGACCGTCAAGCCGGCCATGCCCGCGATCATGGCCTTGGAGACGTTCGTCCACAAGGTCATCTGCTGGAGGGCTTCGGCCTCCGTCGCGTGCGACGACATCTGGCGGGCGCCGGCGCGGGCGGCGGTGCGCATGGACTTGGTCAAGGTAGCCGACTACACACATACCACCGTCAACCTCAGCCGGTGCGAACCATCGTCACGGCAGGCGTACCATATTGAGACTTGGTGAGGGATTCCGAACTGACTGGCTGGCAACCACAACCTGTATTTTTCGCTGTTTGTTTCAATGTTTGACGGTCTGTTTTATACTCTTTTAACTCACGTTTTCTATGCGATTGGTGATGTGTTTTAAACCGGCGA